TTAAGCTTCGTGGCAGTTTGGTCCTCCAACAGCTAGCAACTTCTCCTGTAGCTCGTATGGCTGTAGCTCGTCCTGCCGGGTTCTCCGGCTGTGCACCACGCTGGGGCAGGGCATGGTGGCCCCACAGCCCCTTGGCTACTCTGGCTGGCAGCGCCTGGAGAGAGGCAAAGCTGGGGAGTTGCAGAACCTGCCCCTCAGGGCCGGTGAGTCCAGGGTCATGGATATTGGGCCCATCTGTGCCTCCGAGGCAGCTGCGTGCCCAGTTTGCCCTGCCTCCTCTTTCTGGCTGCCTGCTGCCACCCCTGCCCCGGCAGGAAGGGTCCAGGCAGCAGAGTAGATGTGGCCTGAGGCTATTCTTGTGTAGAGCAAAGCCAAAGCTTGCAGGGAAACCTGAAACCCAGTGAGACTTGGATTAGCAACCCGAAACTCAGGCCAGGATACAAGGCTTTTGGAAGAGCTTGGCAGAGTTTCAGGCAAGTGCGGGCTGAGTTTCAAGTCAGCTAAGGCTGACCTTTGAGTGAGCCCGCTGCTGGCTGCTCGGGAAGCATGGGCCTGAATTTTAAGAGAGCCTGGGGAGTTTCAGGCGAAAAAAAAAATACCAAAACAGTTAAAGGGTTTAGGCAAAAACAATGCAGACCTCTTATGGTTTGGGGGTGATAATTCCTAGCCACTCACCTGCCCCCAAACCAGCAAAACCAGACTGGTGGTTACAACTTCATTGCACTCCGAGTTTCAATGCAGACTTAACCCCTTCCTCAGCATGGAGTAACTCTTGCTTCCAGGCTTTCTCTGGGGTAGATCTAAATTCCCCGTTTGCTCTCTCCCCATCACAAGGGAGGTCTCATGGCTGTTAGCGGTGCAAGGTCAAAGCTGTACCTGAGCAGCTCAGCGTTCCCTACTCCTGGACACGAGGCTATCTATCTGGCAGTTTGTACCTTGCAGGAATTTATGGAAGGGGAGAAATGAATCAGATCGGGGGGAGATCATAAGATGGAAGGGCTGGTGCTGTGAGAGCAGAAGACCGGAGTCCAGGGATCATCCAGAGCTGGGCAGACAAGGCCACGCTATATCAGTGACCGAGGCTGAAGGATGACGATCAAGCCAAAGTGGAAGAAGGCATGAGAAAATGGCCACAAACAGAGCTGTCTGTCCCAGGCAGTGGGAAGCAGCAAGGGCCAATGTAGTCTTGCTCCTGAAGCTGTGGACATATTTCTCTTCCCATTATGTTGTTTGGGTTTTTTTTCCCCCCACTGCTTTTCTTGCAAACTCATCGCTCTCTTCCTCCCCTAACACACAGCATGTGATGGGTCTAGATCAGGGCAGGGAGGACGTGTTTGCAATCAGACCCATGTTTCTCTGCATTGTCTCGGCAGTGAATTCAGCCAAGTGGATTTTAAAAGTTTTGTGAAGGTAGAATTTTCCCAAATGGCCTTTCCTGGATAGGAAATTGCTTATCTTAGAGTATTATTCTACATAGCTCTGATAGATCCTTTCCCCCCTGCCAGTTGTTGAAGTCCCTTTACACTGGGAGTAATAAATGTGGAGCCTGAAGCCACAGAAGGCGTCTTTATGCCAAAGGAGGTGCCCCTCCATGGCACTCCTGGTTTTCTTGCCTAGCTCCCTTTTCCATGCCCTTGATTCCGGCTCTTTCTCCCACGCCGTGTCCTATGTTGTCAGGCAGAGAGGAGCCTCATCTGCTGCTTTATTTCAGGCTCTTCTCTAATTACACGTTGACATTAGTTATTTATATAATGTCTCTAATACCAAAGCGTCAATACTGGAGGTGCTGGGAGGGGGTGGGAGGCCTGTGCCCGCCTGCCCGCGGCTCAGCAGGTGGCGTCCGCCGGTCACGTTGGTCCGGAGGTGCTGGAGCAGCCCTGCAGCATCCCAGCATCTGCCATCAGCTCCTCTGGAGACAGCTCTGGAGAGCTGGAGCCAAGTATCCCAGAGAGGCACAGGGTCACGCACCACACGCCAGAAGGTAATCGGAGACGGTCTGTCCGGGCTGCAACTGCTGGACGTCCTTTGCAGACGGCATAATGCCCCTTCTGCAGCCTGCACGCCTTGCCCTTGAAGTCCACGCTGCGCTTTTATGGCCCCCCCAGAGGAAGGCAGGGAAGTGCTAGCAGATGCGTAATTTCCCCAAGGACGGTGTGTGGGCTTTACCCTGGACAGCTAAATAAATACTTGGATGTCTCCTGTGCCGAGACTTGTTTGTGTCTCTGAGGCCAGGGTGGAACGCGTGGTGGGGTGCGTGCAGTTCCTGTTGGGTTTGGTGTGTGGCTGCTCCAGCGTTGGTTTTAAATGTGACACTGATAACGCAGGCCGCCAGCCCGCTGCTGGCTTCCAGTTCCGTCTCGCTGCCTCTGTCTCTTTTATGTTCTCTGCTGCGGTTTGCAAGGCAGAGTTTAAAGGTTTCTCTGACTAACCCTGGCTGCCGGACTCAAAGGGAAGGAAGTCAACTGCAGCCAAGAAAAGGAAGCCAGTTGGTTTCCCTTCTGCGTCTGCGAGCGCGTGTGAGGGGGAGAGGGAGAAGGGTGTAGCCAGATCAGAAATGAGATAGGATGGGAAGACAGCAAACCTCTTTCCTTCCATATTTTCTCAGCTCGACAAGCTCCCTGCATGCGTCAGCCCAGAGCACGGGGAAAGGAAGCGTGTCCTCGTCAATATTAACCCGGCGGCGTGGGGCAGCGCACTTCAGCTCCAGCTGCCGGAGGGCTGCGCGCTTCTGGCTCGCTCCCTGGCAGTGCAGTGTGTGAAGGCAGCCACGACGGGGAGCTTCCTTCCCGCAGGATGGCTGGTGCTGGCAGGGCAGGGCAGGGCAGGGCAGGGCAGGGCAAGAGGCCCAGTTGCCCTCCGGCCAGCGGGGCAGGAGCTGGGTGCTGGCCCCCGGCTCCCTGGAGCATGCAATGCGGCGTGGCCGGCACCCCAGCCCTGCCAAGGACCCCCAAGGTGGATGCAGAGCACACGGGTCCCTCTCGGCTCCTGCAGCATCTCCTGGCCATCTCCAGTTTGGGCTCTACAGCAGCCTGGTGACCAAAGGGGTGGCCGGAGCCTCGGGGCAGTGCTGGCCACCCTGGGGGCAGCAGGGGCCGGAGCTGGGCTTGGGCTCACACTCACAGGCAGCATGCTGCAGGCAGCTACTTCAGGGCATCTATTTCTGGCCCCTGGGACAGGGAAGGGCATGCAGGGGGAGGCAGGCTCCGGGACTCGCAGGACCTGAGGGCTATTTCTGGCTCTGGTTGCTGACCCGCCAGGCCACCCTTGGCCACTTGCTTCCCCTGTAACTCCCTCGTGCCAAGCCCACCCTGAGTCTCCAACCCAAGGCTCCCTCTGCCACCCACACCAGATGCTCCCGGGCGGCGTGGGACGGCTGCCACACCATGCAGGGTTTGTCACAAGACCATGACGCTGGCTGTGATCTTTTGACGTAAATCTGCAGCAGGCTGGCAATAAGTGCCCTTAGGAGTGCTATCAACAGGCGAACGATGCCCCTGAGGCATGTTTTTGTCACCCTAGAAATGGGTAACCTACAGACCGAGGCAAAGAGGTGAGTATGTTGAAAAAAGAACACATTGCCATCCAAATGTCACACTCTGCCTCGTGCTAAAGGCTGCAAGCTCTGTGGCCTGGGCCCCTTCTCTGCTGGCCATCCCACGGAGCAGCCCCAGGCAGAGGGCAGAAGCGAGCAGTGGGCATCAGGAGTGGTCCCAGAGACCCCAGAGGCTGTGGGACAGAAACGCATTGGCTGGCACCCTCACCTTTTCCCACCAGCTTCTATATATGGGTCTGCCCTCTCTGAACCCATCACACTCGGATCTCAAGTGACACACTGGGGAGGGAGGGGGGGGGTCTATTTTTAGTCCCTGAATGGATCTGTGCTGGAGCCGAGCTCTCTGCCCCCGTCAAGGGTACAGCATCATGTTGTGCTGGGAGGATTTTCCTGCGTGGCTCTTTGAATGGCTCCATCACCGCCTTAGATTGTGGTACAGGTAGGATGCAGCTTTGTCATCTCTCTGCTTCTTCTCCTACAGCTGGATCCCCCCTGCTAGTTTTGGGCTCTGTTGCATCTCCCTCCCCAGAGCCATGGGTATGGAAGGGGCTGCCGTGACTTGCTGAAATGTCCTTGTTTGGACTCTGCTTCATGCCGTGGCCGCAGGGATGCCCCAGGGGGGAA